TTCCTAAGTGTTACTGCTCTAAATTTATCTTTGTAATCACAGTTTGTATACAATTTTGATAATCTGTGACTGTCCCTAGGGCAATAGGGTTATGTTGTTACTAGACTGTTGAAGTGTATGTTATATTTTGAAATGGAGTTTATCAGCTCTTAAGGCATTGCTGTTTTAAAACTTGTTTTTCATACTAAAGGTTGGTTGGTGTTTGTTGTGACAAATTGGTAACCTTCATTTTAAAGGCAATGTTGGTGTCATGACCCCTGTTGAGATGATTCACACATGCTGAAGCATATGAAGATCAACATTGCTTTCATCATTGTTAAATTTGTTCTCCTTGTTTGTGTTTGGCAACTGTCATTTGGAATTGGTAATTGTTATGAAAGCCATTGGCTTAAGGCATGATGATTGGAAACAAAAATGCTTATTCATTGCCTCAAGGTTAATTGTTGTTATCTTAAGGCTGTTGGCCACTATGTTGAGAGGATTCACAATGAATTGTTGATGATTAGCATATGCTTTTTTATGAAATGAAGTGTATGTTAAGCTCTATTGTCTCTATGAAAGTTGTTACATGTTAAATCCTATTATAAAAATATGTTAGTTTCAGTTTAGTTATTTGATGGATTCAAATGATTGACATGTTAATTGGATGAAATGGAGTTAGGCAACTAGTGCAGAATTTTAGAAGTTAATTTATGAGAAAAAGTTAGATTAATGAATTGGTTTTTTTTGAACTGTTTGGATTGTTTGTGTTGTGTTCATGTGCATGGGAGTGAAGGTTGCTGCTGTGAAGATGTTAGGAATAGTTTTGCTAAAACATAATTTCTGTTATGATGGTTAATTGGATGTTAGTGAAGTTATGAGCTAGAATTAGTAAGTTTTGTTAAGGTTAAGTTATGGAAGTAAATGAGGTCATATGTCAGTTTGGAATTGAATGGTTTGTTTGTGATGTGTTCTTAACTGCAGTTAGAACTAGTTATGGTCTAGAATTATGTTGAAAGTTTTGATTATGCAGTTAAGTTGTTAATTAGAAACAAAATCCTAATTATGATCATCTAGCAATTATTATGCTTAACTGCTTGGAATTTTAATGCTAAAAGATTAGTCAATAATGTTAATGTTGCAAAATGTTAGGAGGTTAAAGTTTGTGAAATGTTTGACTGTTAGGGAACTGTTTTGAGTTAGCTATGTTTGCATGATCTTTGAATAAAGATTCTTAGGTTTTGGATGCATGGTTTGAATTAATATTGAGCATGTGTTTATGTATTCATGGGGGTGCTATGTTATGGATGCTTGTCATGTTAGTGCTAGCATGTGCAGTTCAAACATACATCTGAACCACATTCCACGATAGTTCAAACTAATTTCAAAATACACAGTAGAAAAATTAGCACACTAACTCTGAAGAAAAGACTAAATGTTTCTATCATGACTTGACTCACCTCATTCGCCATTCTCACTTCATAAGTTTAAACTCATAACAGAGTTTTGAATCTTACCAACTAACTCCCTAACTGTCCCAACAAATCCCTAATTGTTGAGAGGAATCATTTCCTCATTGTTAATTGTTGTTATCTTACCCTAGGGCCGCTATCAGTCATGACAGGTCCTTTATCACTGGTTGAATTCACTTTAGTGTCTTAGAAGTATGAGTTTATCAACTCCTAGTTGCTGGCTGATTAGTTTTTTTGCTCATGCTAATGTTTGGTTTATAATTGTTTGACAAGTTAGTAAAATATCATTAAAATAATATAAGGATTTAGTGCTTGATTGATTGGCATTGTGATGGCCAAGTTCCTACTATCATGACAAGTTAGTAATTGTTTGGCATTGTAATGGCCAAGTTCCTATTGTCATGACAAGTTAGTTGCTTGATTGTAATTGTTTTTGTCTAATTTTTGTCTAATGTTTTTTGTATTTTATGACAACAGATGACTAACAGAAGTGGAGGTGAGAGAGGAAAGGAAAATCCAAAAAAATGAAAATCTAAGTGCTTAGCACCTGGAAAGCTTATTGATAATCGGAATAGCATGTTTCGAAAGAAATCTACATTTGTTCAGTCATCACAAGCTACTACAACACCGACTCCACCAACTCGGACTCCATCGTCGGCTCCGACTCCATCGTTGGCTCCGACTCCCTCGGTTGCTTCGACTCCATCACCTGCTCCGAATCCATTGCCAGTGCGGGCTGCACCAGTCCCGCGGACTGCATCCATTTTGCAGACTGCGCCTGTGCCGCAGGCTGTACCACCATTGCAGACTACATTGTCATCTGCACCTAATCATGCCTCTACCTCTGAGGTATTTAGGTTTATGCCTACTCCAGGTTTAAACATTCAAAATGTGGTTGTCCCTCTAGATAATGCCTCATGTAAGATTCTGATGGAGGAAAATGAAGAGGAAATTGAGGATGAGGATGCGGATGAGGTGGTCGTGGGTGAAGGTAATGTTCCCCCTCATTTGATATTAAGGGATGATAATGGGAAGGTTATTATACAAACTTGTGGTAGCGGGTAAGTTTAAAATATTTATTCAATATTGTAACAGGCTTCAACATTATCATTGGTTTCAACATTATATCATATGACATCATTGGTTTCATTCAATATTGTAGGCTTGTTCCGGCCAAAGAAGTAACAAATGCCATTAATTATGCGATACACAAACAATTTTATAGGGGTTTCTATAATTGGACAGCAGTTTCTGATGATGTCAAAGAAAAATGGTTTGCTCTTTTTGCGGTAAGTATTTATTGAATTTTGTCTAAAAGCCTCAGCTTGTGCTTTGTGGGTCTGATACAATATGCAATTGAGACCTTTTACTATTTCAAATTGCTGACCTTTTACTAATAGTAGCATAAATTCCCTAACACATCCTCATATTTCAAATTCCCTAACACATCCTCATATCCTCATTGGAGCTATTGGTCTTGAGATGTATGCTGTCAAATTCCCTAATAGATCCTCATATTTCAAATTACTAACAGTATGTTGTCATTGTTCTTGAGATGTATGCTGTCAAATTCCCTAAACAAAATCCTGAATTTGACATTACAATGCCAATTCTATAAGGGATTCAGACCAACATGAAGAGCTAACCACCCATAGCATCACCATGCTTGACATATCTAAAACTCCAAAAACAGACATAAACACTGGACTCAAACCTACTTAGAAGCAAACCACACCTATGTGGAATAAAACTCTCCAACAGACCTGGGCAGCAGGCCCAGCATCAAACCAACAGTGTCCACTGAAGTTCTAATCTGTCAAGATCTCCAACTGGCTCAAGAATTTTCATGACCCCAAATCTGGCCATACCCTACCTCAGCTGACAAAACAAAGTGAAACTCACTACCTATCACAAGGAAACCAAACTAGCTATGAGAAACTAAGACTGATATCCACCAAATCTGAGTTGACAAACTCAGTTTCCTTATGGATAGATGCTGACAAACCGAACAGAACTGACATTATAATGCCTAGGATGTTTATACTATTTTAATCATTTTCAGGACAAGGTTTCATAGGATCCTCAATATGAGATGTTTGTCAGAAAAACCTTTTATTCAAAGGCAGCCATTCGACTAAATGACATAATGAGGAAGGTGAGGTTAAAAGGGACCCGTCCTTCATGGATTGGTGAGGATGCCTGGAATGAGCTTGAAACTTATTGGAAGAGTGATTCGTTCTTGAAATTGTCCTCTCAAGACAAGGCCAATCAAAGTTCAGCAAGAGGAGGAGCAGTCCACACCTCAGGTTTTGAGAAATTTCAAACATAAGATCTCTATTTTGGATCTGCATAAGTTTTGAGAAATTTTATGATCATGACTGAATTGATTGAGGACAAATTCTATGTGGCCAAGTGTTGGTAGTATGAGATTGCATAATTGATATTTTTCTGAATGGTTAAGATTGCTCGAACTAATTATATCACTAGATGTGTGTGGCAATAATTATACATAAATGACAAACATAGAATTGTAGTCACTTGTCACTGCCATTCTTATCTAGAAAGTATTAAAATGTTAGTTTTCCCCCTTAATTTTGCAATATTATTGAATGGTGCCTTGCAGCGGATCTGCACCGCTGCACACCACTGCCGACTCCAGCCACTAGCTGGCGGATGCCCTCGCCGGACTGCCTCTCTGCGGGAGCGGCATTTTTCCTGATGAGTTCAAAGTTAGAACCTCCAAATTTTTATGGTCCGAGATCAAACCCTTATTACTTAGACAAACGAGCTTTGAAACTAAGTACCAGAATTAGTCAAGAATCTGCAGGAATCAGCCATGGCTGGAATGCCAAAGTTGCATATGTATTGTTATTGTTATGTAGCAGCTGTGGGGACCTTGGACAATTGTTAACAACAATGACTAGACCTGTCAATGCTTCATAACCAGCTAAAAACCATGCTGTCTAAGTAGTAGTAAATTAGTAGCTACAATTGCTACCTAGTACTGTGTTTGTACATAAGGGTAACTCTTATTCTGTCCATTACTTACCTAGCAAGCTACAGTATGTATTGGAAATTACCAAATCAACATATTCGAAAATCTTTATCTTTAAAATCTCCATAGCATTAACATCTCTAAAAACTTACGTATGTAGACCCATAACAGGATGCTTGGCTTTGAATACAATGAAAGCTAGAATGAGAATTAACAATAAAATTGCAATGAAAACAATAGTAACCGCGAGACATGCTTTTCTCCCTTTACCAGATCCTACTTTCATCCTGTTATGATATGAAGGAATAAACACAAGAGTGGTGACCTGTTATGGTTTAAGGAATGATTTGTACCAGACCTGTTATGGTTTAAGGAACGATTTGTATGATTTGTACCATTACCTATGTTTTACTTTAATGATTTGCATGACTCAAAGTTGGAATAAATTGAAATTTTAGTAAAGTCATTAATAATTGAAATGTTGTACTAACTCATGCAGGCACAATAACTCTTGCATAACTCATGCAGGCACAATAAGAATCCTATATTTAGAAATGACTCCTTTTTCTGTTTTACAGTCCACTTTTAAGGAAAAAGCTGGAGATGATGTCGAGAGGTTAGATGGAGGGACCGTTTTTAAATTATGGAAAAATTCTGCTGGGGGTCGTAGTCGTGGTCGGGTTTATGGAACAACGGATTTAGCTATAAATCTAAAGCATGGATCTACATCCTTTATCCAACAACCTCAACATTCCCATGGATCTATGTTTGGGACATCCTTTGAATCAGAGAAAGCATCTAGAATTAGAGCTGAACAATTGGCTGCAGTTACATCAGCTCGACTCGAAGAGGCTACCAAAGCTATTCAGGCGTCAAATGAGATTGCTCGGAAGGCAACATAACAATATCAAGCGTCTAACGAGTTTGCTAAGAAGATGGAGTCTGAACTGAATGCTTTGAAGGCATTTATCATGCAGAAGCTTGACCCTACAAATGGTCAATCTGCTAGTGTTGTCATTCGATCGTCAAATCCTCACTATGATGATGATTTAGATGACCAATCATTAAGTGAAGATTGATCATGCAGTGTTAGTAGAAGTAGTCTCGGATGTACATTTTTTTGGACATGATTTTCAATGTATTCTGAGTTTTTGGGGCTGTTTTTTGTTGTAGCTATGACTACTTTTTTGTTGTTGTTTCAATCTATGTAATATTTTGATAACTCTTACTTCATATGTTTTATATGTTTTGATAAATTATTTATGATCTTGATAAATTGATTGAAAGAGAACACGACATGGCATAATTGTCATTATTGGAAAACATGGTCAGCATATATAGGTTGTACAATTAGAAAGCAGGCATAATTTTGTTGACTTTTACAATTTGACTTTAGCCTCGGTTAACCCAAAGTTAAATATTTTGTTGACTTATAAAGTTTGAACTTAGCCTCAAACAAATCGAGGCAAAATGTTCGTTTAGCCTCGACCAGGACCAAGGCTAAATATTATGTTGGCTTATGGAGTTTGACTTTAGCCTCGGTCAGGCCCACGCTATTTTTTGTTTTTTGACACGGCTTCACCGAGGCTAACATAGACACGGCTAAATCGAGGCTAATGTAGACACGGCTAAAATGAGGCTACTGTAGACACGGATCTTTTAGGCCAAAGCTAAATGTTAGCTTCGATCGTTTTAGCCTATCCCCGACACCGACGCTACGCCGAGGCTAATTGGCTAGTAGCGGCGGTTTTTTGCCTTATAGTGTCGGAAAATGGCCGAGGCTAAATACTGTATTTCTAGTAGTGCGTAGGGATAGGTCGTAAAATTGAGCCAAAGCAGTGATGGCTTCTATCTTCATAGGGACTCTCAAGAGATCAAGAATCCTTCCATACTTGAGTGTGAATTTCTTTTGAATAGATCCAAGCATTAGGTCTTGGAGCACCTTCACGCTTTGTACATCAGGCATTTGTGCTTTAATGCGAACGAACGTTCTTTTGTCTAAGTTCATCTTCACAATGTACCTACAAAAAATTTTAAAATTCCCCATGAGATGATAAATATATGTAAAAAGGCTTGTTTTTATGCAAATGGTAGGATGATATGAATATTTTCTTTAAGTTTCAAGGCTTTGAGGTTGAGATAAGGGTAGTATGCAAACATGACCTAGTTAGGGTAGGCTTCTTATAATACACTAGATCTAGCTTAAGACTACCCAATCCCCTCGCTTGTATGATATATGATTTTTGGATGATAGCCCTAGAGTCATGGACTACAGTAATTCTTCAAGATAAGTCTCATCTAGGCGGGACCTTAGTAACGATCCTTGCAAGTTGATAACATAAGGTCACCATCAATGGAATGGGTTCTAGAAGAGGTCCATAGAATCATGGACCAAATTCAAGGTTTCATCATAAAGAAGTGCTAGCCAACTCATGACAAACACTTTTAATTTATCTACTCTAGGTGGAATCGTCATTAAAGACCTCATGGGATAATAATCCACAAATGTATATCCCAACCAACATGATATATGAAATAAAAATATAAAACAGAAAGCATAAGAATGTATAGAAAAGAAAATAAATAAATAAATAAATAAATAAATAAAAAGCAAGAAATAGAAAAAGCAAACAAAGAAGCACACAAAACCCTAGAGTTAGAAGTTAGGATGAACTCTTTTAGGGAAGGAGAATTCCCCAGCAGAGTCACCAGCTGTCGCAGATGGAAAGTCACATAGTCACCATCATCTTTTATTTGTTCATAGAGAATATGGAAATAATGATAAATCCTAATAACTAAAGGTGAGAGACCAGGTTCAGGAGTCGATTAAGTAAGGGGAAGGTACTAAGCATCCTCACCTCCATTGTAATCAATGAGATCCTTCTCCAATCCTAGGGTTACTAATTGCCTAAGGGGATGTTTGCTTATACATTTAGTTATTTATGGCCTAATATTTATTTATTTACAAAACATTATTTTATTATTTAAATAAGAAAATAATTAATTAAGACATGAGGACCTAGAAAAAGTTTTTGATTATTGTACTCACTAGAGTGCTACGACTCTATGCCTACGTACTCTCATATTGGATGAAGGATCCGAGCACTGTAGTTCTTGTAAAAAATGTTTGTGTGCTTAATTGGTTTTAGCCCTTGAAAAAGTCTCAACCCATCAGGGGCGAAGAAAGTGTTTAATTTGAAAAGTGCCTCAATGCACAAGGGAAGATGACTTATTACTTAAGTGTGTGGAGTTGATTTTAACTTATTGGTTATTTGAAAAAATATAATAATTATTTGAATTTAAGACAATTATATATATATAAATATATATATATATATATATATATATATATATATATATATATATATATATATATATATATATATATATATATATATATATATATATATATATATATATATATATATATATATATATATATATATATATATATATATATATATATATATATATATATATATATATATATATATATATATATATATATATATATATATATATATATATATATATATATATATATATATATATATATATATATATATCTATTTTGACAAAAAATAATAAACACAAAGTTAATTATAAAAATAAAGATTAATGTCATATCCCTTATCCCTGATTATTTTTCCCTAAAACCCTAAAATTATCCTAGAAATTTATCCCCAATATTATCCCAAAGGTTAACCCTAATTCCTTAATTAATTATATTTTTTCTGTTCTTTTTTATTATTTATATAGATTAATAATTACTACATTATTATAACAATATACTAACTAAACAAACCTAATTATCCTAATTATACTAATTAAATTATTAAAACTAATCTATAATCCTAATTAATTAGATTAATAATATACTTTAAACAAATAAAAGAAATTGGGGGTGTATGGCTAGTTGAATCAGTAGTGGGATGGTAATTGGAGGGTGTCAATAGTAAAAGGAGTCTGACCCATTAAATTTTGAGCCCAAACCGTCCCAATGGCCAACCTAAGAGAATCCATGGTTGACTCTCAACTGGCGGTGTTAGATCTATTGATTGGAGAGTCAACATGATCAAGTGAGGTGCATTGAATGAAATGACTGGGAAAAGTCATCAAAGCAGAAGGGCAAGATTCAAAGCTGACCTAGGGATTATGGTACACTTGACTTTATCATAGGAGTCAAAGTCAAATCATCTGAAGCCTCGTGAGAGGCCACGTGTAGTGAATCAAGGAGGATTCTGGAAGGGCTTTTAAGCACCCCTCCCTTCAAAACAAATTCATTTCATTTCCCTCTCTCTCTCTCTCTCTCTCTCTCTCTCTGTCTCTCTCTCTCTCTCTCTCTCTTCCTCTATTCTTCTCAACACCCAAACTCATCTGACTGCCATGCCTGGTCCCCACACCACCGTCCCACCCAGATTTCGATAGAGCTTCAACCATAATCTTCAAGCCTTCATCCTTATCACAGATAATAGAATTACCAACCAATTACATCGCTCATTAACAATCCACCATAAATTTTAACAATTAAACCCTAAAAAAATAGCTACAATTAAGAATTTCTAATTTAGGCTTCCTCAAATTCCAAACCAATTTCACTCACTACACTTGATAAAAAAATAATATCTCTCCCTAAGAATCAACCTCAGGTTCAGTTTCGTACTTAGCTTGAAGAATATGGAGAACTCAAAATCAATAGCTTTGAGGGGCGAATTCTCCTTGTTAGCAAACAAGAAATTCTCTGGCTTAAGGTCACGATGAATCACCACATGCTTATGACAAAGTTGCACTACCTCTACAATAGTCTTTGCAACCGCTGCAACAACACCCTCTGTATAATGACCACACACGACAATCTGGTCAAAAAGCTCATCAGCTTCACAAAGCTCTATAACAAGATGAACAAAATTGTCATCCTCACAAGCCTTCCAAAGAGTCACAATACTCAAACTCTTCAGCAAATGGTGCATAATAGCAACCCCCTGTTGCACATCATCAGCATCAACAGTAGTCCTAAGCTTCCTCTTAATTGGACTGCATCTTTAGACGATGTGGAACTAAGGTTTCTCTCAAGTAAAATGACATATTGTTTATGCATAATATGAAACAAAGATACCAAGCTGTTAGTGTACTACTATACATCTATTCACATTACAAATTAGTTTAAGTACTATTTCTGCTAGCACGAGGAAAACCCAAGAACAAATGACCCTAATGTATTCTAAGACATCCCTCCACCCGCAGCTTACAAAGCATTTAATTTTTTGAGTGTCAAATGGATATAAACTATAAAATAAAGAACATTAACCCATCTCCATAGAAAATAAGAAACCATCACCTGCCCATTACCTTGAATCATAATTACTAGCAATGATGCTAGATTCCTCTGTCTAGTAACAAAAAAAAAAATTAAAGGTATTTCAACAAACACTTAAACTTCATCTCAAAGATAAAATATTCTTAAAGGTCTAAAGGAAATGGCACATAAGTTAACTCCATTTTAGAAATAAATGATAAATAAAAAGTAGTGAGCTTCATCCATGGCTTAAACTTCTGAAATTTTAAACTAGTGATAAATCTATCAAAATAGGTCAAAGCCAGAGAAAAAATCAACAAGGAGCAATAACACATGACCTTGTCATTCTGGTACATCTTAAGAGTACAATGAAGCAAGATGAAATGCAATTTTGTGACGTATTCATTGGTTCCAACAGATACAGCAACACAAGTTATCTCTACAACCACCGAAAAGTGATTCATCTTACCCAAAAGAGAGAGTACAAACTCTGAGTGATATGTTTACAAACTCAGCACAAGAAAGATGTTTTGGTTATGCATTCACTATTCCTTAGCAGCTTTCACTCGTTTAATAATCTCTTACACAAGATCTTGTAGCATGGTGGACCAACCATATTCATCTGATAATTCACGAGTGGCAGTTCTTCTTAGGTCAATGCATGTAGCATCGAGAGATTAAATCTTGGGTTTCTAGAATTGGTGATGGAAATTTGTCATCTGAACTGTCGCAATCCGTAAGGTGCGACAATTATGTGTCAATTGTCGCAACCCAAGTGTCGCA